GTGGGGGGCTGCACCTTCTGCAGCTGTTGCAGGTAGAGCTGCATCTGCATGGAGGTGAGGGGTGGGGCGGGTGGCTCTTCGTCCTCCTGCAACAGCACTTGGGGGGGCTGAGCCATGGGGGGCTGTGGGAGAAGGGGTGGCTGGGCCAGGGCAGGCGACACGGCCGGGGGCCGGGCAGGCTTGGGGGGCAGGGCGGCGGCTCGGTTGCTGGGCCGCGATGGCTGTTGGGGCAGCGCGTTGTGCAAAGCTGGAAGGACACGAGAGCGTGGCAGTGAGGCTCACAGCTTCTGCACCCCGTGGCCCCAGCCCAGCTTCTCTGCTCCACTGGTTTCCCTCCAACTAGTCATCTCTCTCCGCCCTCCTGGGCTTCCCACAAACTCCAGAGTAAGAACAGTTTCTAGAGCGGTCTACAGGATTGGGCTCCTCACCACCACCATTCTGCCCTGCGCTCTGCACCCCTGACCTTCCTCCCTTCCTTTCAGCTGCTCCCTATTTTCACACTTGCCCTTCAGGTCTCAGAGGAGGCCTTCCCTGAATCCCCCAGGTGTGTGTGTGTGTCCCAGCACCTCCGTCCTCAACTGGGAGCTGGGGTGGTGCGGGCCACACACATATCTTTTTTCCACCTCACACAATGCTTGGCCCAGCAGAAGAAACGAGTCCGTATCTTCCATGTGGAGGCACTAACTATGCAGAGCCTGTGCCTCGGTGGCTCATGATTTCCTTAACGGCTCACTCGGGAGAGCCACCGACCTCCCCTTGGACCTCCCCCGCTGAGGCGGGGGTCCCACAGGTCGCCCAGAGTGCCTCCCCAACCCTCGGCGGCTGTGGCTGCAGCTCACCTGGAGGAGAGACCACCGAGTGCTGGTTGAGATGAGGTGGAGTGCTGTGCTCGGGCGGCTGGGGCAGGTGGGGGGGCAGCTCAGGCTGCGGCAGGTGCAGGATGGGCTGGGTGAAGTGGCCGATGGGGTCGAAGACGCTGCCTGGGAGCTGGGGCTCCAGGACGGGCACCTGGGCAGCGATGAAGGGCGGAGGCGAGGACTTCATCGTGGGGGCCGCCTGTGGCGGCATGGAGGGCGGGGGCGGCGGGGGCGGGGGCTGCTGCTGCTGCTGCGGAGGAGGAGGAGGAGGAGGAGGAGGTGGAGGCGGCGGGGGCTGCTGGGGAGGCGGCGGGGGCTGCTGGGGCCCGGGGGCCGGGGCCTGTTGCATCTGCTGATGGTGGTGGTGATGGTGCTGCAGACAGACAGGCTGACGTCAGGCAGGCGGCACACGCCTGGGTACCCTCAGGGCCCACGAGGGCAGGCGGCCGCTGCTCGCCTGCTGGAGGACACCCGAGACCACGTACCTTCTTCTGCTCCCTCCCGGGGTGCCCCTTCTTTTTTGACTTCGGAGCCATCTCTGCAGAGGGAAAGAGAAGGTGGTGAGGCTCTGGGGGAGAGGACTGTGAGCTGGCCTCCGAGGCAGAGCAAGGAGAAAACAGAGGGTAAGTTCAGGAGAAGGGCCAGTGATGGTGAGAGGGAGGGTAGGTGGGTTCTGTCTGGGATGGGAGTCGGTCACGGGAAAGGGAAAGACGTGTGGGGTGTTACCTACCCATTTGCCTGCCGCTTTTCCTAGTGGGGACCATATCTGAAAAGCCTCCCTGACAATTTTCAGACCATCAGCTGGCTCCATTAAAGGATGACACCCAGGTACACCGGGAGCTGAGCTACGGACACCTCCCTGCCCCGTGTCTCCCCCTACTTGCTGGTCAGACGCCACTATGGTGACCCAAGTGTCTGTACCCCAACCTGCTTTGCTTTGGAACAATTCTGACATTAGAAATCATCACATCCATTTGATGGATTAGCCAAGTGAGACTCAGAGAGACTAAGGGACTGGCCCCGTGTCACACAGCTACAGTAACAACATGTTGGCCTCTAACTGCATTGCCCTCCATGCTGGCTCCTCCCCAGCCTCCCAGGGGAAGCAGAGATGCACAACTGGGGGAGAGTGTGCACGGAGGTGTCGGCCCATGCCTGGCCGCGGAGTGAGCACTTTAGGGGAGGGTGGGAGGGAAGCAAACAGGCTGGCCTCCCGGGAATGACCAGGAGGAAACAGGGAAGGTGCTCACTACCACTGGCCAGCAAAGAGAGGCCACCAACCAGCGCTCCCTTCCTCATGGGAGACCGGCCTCAGAGACGTCCCCGTGCTGGGACACGGCCAATGTGCTGCAGGGCTTCTCCCTGCTGTGTGTCCCGATACCTCAGGGGCCGACGGCTGGTTGCTGCTGTTGTGTGGACTCGTCCAGGGTGGGCCTGCCCCTGCGAGGAACGTGCGAGAGCCAGTGCACACACCCACCTCTGCACCCACTCCACAGATATATGCTAAGGATCTTTCGACAGCCGTTTGCCCCTCACCAATAACCGCTGGTGTGCAAACCCGAGAGGGAGAGGAGAACCAGTCAGTAGTACTCATGGGCTAGGAAATGATGAAGTCACCAACCAGGTGGGAGGTGGGACCCATGGTGCCTTTTGAATTCCTGTCACGAAGAGACACCTCATGGCTTTGCCTGGTATCCCCTAAGCTCCTTGCCAGGGTGCTGGCTCTTGCTGGTGTTGGGAGGACAACATGCTTTGCTACCTCCACTCGCAACTGCTTCATGGAGGGCCGTGCTAAGCTTCTGGGAGGTGCACGGCCACAGGGTACAGCGCGCTACCAAATGGGATGAGAAGGGACCTCGTGCCCTGCGAGAGCTCACCACTCCATGCAAGAGACAAGACAGTGTGACACAGACCTCAGCAGCTAGACACAGGTCCTTACACAAACGGCAGCAACCAGGGACATCTGGAACATGGGAACCATATGCCCAGCCTCCAACCTGGACACTGGAGATGCCAGGATAGAGAGTTCAGGGCTCTTTGGGTCACAGCAGGAAACCAGGTGAGAGGAACACTCTTGTGGATGGGACATACAAAAGGGGACAGTTTGAGTGACTTGCAGGATTAGGGCCACGAGGCTGGCAGCTGCGGGGTAAAGGAGGCACACTGAACTAGAGAGGTGGGAGGCCCAGGACCAAAGGAACCCTACATGCGCTAGGGGAAAGCACGGTATACAGAGGCCACTGAGCCGAAGGGAGCAGGAGGAAGGGGCTGAGGGTCCCTCCAGGATGGGCACCTCTCCCAGCAGATTCCAGTAACATGCACTGAAGCTCGAGGGAGGCTGGAACAGCTGCTCACACACTGGGCAGGCCTTTGGGAGGCTGGGGGATCAGAAACTGGGGTAAGAAAGGGGCCAATGGGTAAAGTCTGACCAAGAGAAGACAGCGTATTGTGGGGAGAGGGCTGGGGTGGCCTGTCATCTCATGGCCCCAGGGGAAGCACTGTTTTTTCCACCATAAAGGAGGGATGGTGCCTCTGAGCCTTCACTATCTCCCCCCAGCGGGTGAGTAAAGAGGCCCACAGGAGCACTCATGGGGACAAAATGCAGTGGGGTCCCAGGAGTTCCAGAGAGCGGGTCTCGGCTGCCTTGGAAAGTGTCCCAGGTCCAGGTCTCCGTGAGGAAGTGCTGGTGGGGTGGGGGCAGGCCTAGAGTGGGAGAACCAGTGGGAGGTGTACAGAGGACCTCCAGGACCAGAGAACACTAAAGGGGCCGGCGGCAGGGACCAAGGGCTGCTGGAGCCTGCTTGGGACAGCTGCATCTGGCTCACATGGCCTGAGCCTCCTGTCCGAGTTACTGGTAGGAAGACAAGACAGGAAGTGCACAGCTTCACAACACACCAGCCCCAAGACACCCCACACAAAACTCTCTAAAAAGGGTTACATGAAGATGGCCTCGAGTACTGTGTGATCTTTATTCCATGAAAATCTTGAACTCAACACAAATTTCATCTTTACATAGGATGGTAATTGTACAAAGAATTAAAACGTGTTTTTTTGTTTTGTTTTTTTTTTTGTAAAATCTGATTAAAACACTGATTCCTCCCGCCCCCCACCCCCACTCAAGGGAAGGAGACGGGATTGAGGGTAAGGGCAGGGCAGAGGCACAGAGCCCAACTCAATTCAACTGACTGGGGAGCCTCGGCACTAGCAGAGGCCCAGGCCACCCACCCCTCCTACAGCAACTCCTCAGGCCCTGCGCAGGCCAGCTGGTGTGTCAAGGCCCAGTTGGCATTTCCCCTGCCCGCACACAGGAGGCTGCCAATAAGGAGTGGGTACTGCTCTCTATGCTCTATTCCTGGGGCACTGGGCACAGGTGACAGCTTGAGTCTCAAGATCAAGTTCTCTGACAGATGGAAGCCCCATGGGCAAGGAGGCCAGGATCCACAGACAGAAAGGGTGCAAAGACCCTGCAGGAGAGCTGGCCTGTGGCTAGAGCTGGTATGCACCAGTGTGGGAAGGGGCGGGGCGGGGCAGCACACAGGCCGACAATGTGGGAATCCAGGCTGCCATTTGTTCCAAGACGGCAGAATCTTCCCAGAAAGACAATGCCAACAGCTTCCCAACTGTCCTGTGGGAATCTCCGGGCATGAAGCCCCCTGGCTCCAGCCAGGCCGAGCTGCACTGGGAACACATCAGGCACAGGCCAAAGGGCAGCTCAAAATAGTCTGTTTGGCAAATGGAGCTTGACTGGAAATCGACCGGCCAGAGGATCAGGGAGCAGCCTAGGAACTTGCAAGCATCACTGCAGGGCCCTGGAGGCTCTGGAGGGGCTGGATCTAGAACACAAAGCCCAGAGGAAGGATCCCAGGGTTTCCGCACAGGAGGTGGCCAGTGCCCAAGGGCCTGCTGATGGTGAACTACACCTCCTCAAACTTGCTTCCAGCTCCAGAAGGCAGGCGCCAAGATGCCAGGAAACTGCTATAGGCCTTGAAGAAGTACACACAAACTACATTTTAAAAAGGAAGAAAAAAAAAAAAGCACTCCCTGAAACACAGATGCTGTTCCTTAGGGGACTTTTCATCAGGCAGTTTTCTGCTGAAATGCTGGATTCATGACCAAAAAAGGGCCGATATTTATTTTTAGAGCAAAAAATCCTATTCAGTGCCTCTCAGAGGCCTTGGATGATGCGGTCACCCTGGACTGCCCCACCCCCGGAGGCTGTCATTATTCTAGGGCACTGAAGAATGGGAGGGTGCTAGCAACACCCCTCAGAGATGTGCACGGAGCAGGGCCCGAGGGCTCGGATGGCCTCACGATGGACTGGTCCAGTGCTCTGGATCTGAGAGCCCTTTCTCGTCCACTAGCCCAGTGCCTCACCCCACTGGGGACAGGAATCCTGGACTCCAGGGGTTAGGTCAGCTGGCTGCATGGCCATTTCTCCTTGAGTGCCCCTCAGCAGCGACCTTCCTGATCACTGCAGCCTGCTTCTAATTACTTGGTGGGGGGGGGGGGGGGGACGACAAGGAGGCAGCCCAAGAGGTACTTTCCCCTCTTGTGACTTTAGGCAAAGAGGCCAAAAAAGTTGGGAAAATGCCCAACAGGCAACAATGGGGACAATGAAAACAGAAGGAAGACTCCTGGGGCCTGGGAGTCAGTTGTAGCTGGTGGCAGCCTCCAGCTGACGGGGCCTCACAAGCCACCAGAGAGAGGGCATGCAGAGGGACAGCCCCGCAAGCCTGCAGGCCCAACTAGGCTTGCCCCTAAGGCCCCTGTCCCTCATGGGGAAAAACTCTAAATGAATGTTCTTCCTTAGACTAAATGAGACCTTCCCTGGGCTAACTAACGTCATTTTAAGGTCCAGGAGGAAAGCAGTTAGGATCCAAACAAAGAGGGAGGGATGAAGAGAGAAAACATACTTGTGATGGGGCCTTGCACACGGAGCAGCACCACGTTATGTGTGTGCAGGGGGGATTGTCATCACCCACTGGGAGATGCCACCTGCCCAGAAGACCCCAGATGACCAGGAAGGCTGGGCAGGACAGCCAGGCAGTCTTTACACAGGAGGCCTGGGGGGCCAGCCAAGCAGGCAGCCTTCCCGGAGGCGGGACTAGGCGTGTACTGCTGGACATGACTAATCCACCCCAGGGGACAGGCCCAGGGCTCTGAGGAATTCCATAACTTGATGGAGTCCTGTCCCTTTCACAGAAGAAAATGGACTTAAGCTATAGCTTGCTGGGAAGGAATCTGGAACTGAAGACCGTTTTATTAAGAGTCCGTGTCCAATGATTAGGCAGGACCTACATAGAGGGAGAGAGAAACCAGTGTGAGAGAAATGGTGTGGAATGTACCGTTCAAGTCACAAGAACAGAAGAACCACAGACCGAGCCAGCCTCCTGTGCCCTGCCCGCTTGACAGGGCACGAGAGAACGGCGCCGGAGTCTAGGAGCCCTGCCCCCTGCCTGGCCAGCCACGGGCGGCGATGGACCCACCTTCCCTTTACAAGGGGCACAGTCCCTGCACACATGGATGTCTCCAAAACCACCCAGAGCCCTGTTTATGCTTCTACACAGAACAGCTGCTTCCAGTAACAAGTTCCATGTGCACCGTGAGCGCAGGCCGGAATTCCCTTTATTGAAGGTCTTTGAATGTGAGAGGCGCCCTTGCCTGCCCTACTTGCCATCATTCCTGAAGACCAGCCAGGTATGCCACACCCATCAGGCACCCCCGACTCTAAGTTTGTCCCCTCTGGACCTGCTTTTCTGCACACTGTCTACCTCACGGAGGTGATGCCAGCCCTTCCTCAGGGCCTGGGCAGAGATGAGAAAATCCTCCAGAAAGGGGCTCTAGAGTGCAGGACCTCTAGCAAACAGCCTCATTTCTGCATTCCTACAAACCCCAAGAAACAACCACCACCACCACCAAATAAATAACCACACACACACACAAAAAAAAACAAAAACAAAAAACAGAAAACAAATATAAAACACCCAAATTATAAAAAGAGGAAGCAATTATACACACTGTCAAGGAGGTGGGGGGGGGGATAAAATGAAAACAGGCTGAGGAGTAAAGCTGTCCCCTTCTTTTCCCAGGGCATTGAGTGTGCTTCCCCTTGACCGGAGAGGGGCATGGGGCCCGTTCCCACTCACACAGCAGAGCGGATGCCTCTGTTGGAGTCACGGATGCAACCAACACCGCACTCCCATGGTATTCAAGTGTGCGCGTGGGAAAAACCCACCCACCGGCCAGCCTCTCGTTCAGGGCACATTCCACAAGGCTCACCCTCGCCCATGAAGCCTCAGAGTCCCTCCAGCTGCGACCCCTGCATGTGGGTGTATGAGGGGTCACCTGACAGTACAGGCAGACCAGCTACAGTCCCATCCTCCAGGTCTTTTTCTATCCCCACCCCACCCCCCCACCCTTACCAGGGGCCTCTCCCTTTTCCCAAGAGCAAGCGTCATACCCTTGGAGCAGGCAGCAGCAGGCCCCAAGATGGGACTGGAACCCAGTCCCTCAAAGACCCCAGGGGTCGGAAGCTGAGGCTGGTTGTCTGGGAAGAACGCCCCATGGCCTCTGTCTGCACTTTCCGGCTCAAATCTTTCCAAAACATTAAGCATTCCTTTTTCCCCTGGAGCTATTAAGAAACACCCACATGCTCCAATCCTGGGAAAAGGAAACAAGGAGACTAAAATAGCTGGAGTGTGCTCCCACTGCAACTAGAAGACCAGGCCCAAATCCAAGAGCACTGCCCCACACCTCCCCGAACCCGTCCCAGGCCAGGTAGCTGGGGTAGGAGGATGTGCTAAGAGGGACATGAGCTGTGTGTCCACCCTGCCCAGAAACAAAGACTTGTGGATGGCATGTGGAAGGAGTCCATCATCAGCAATATGACTGGGTGGAAGACTGGAAAAAAGAGTCCTAGGACAGGGCGCCTGGGTGGCTCAGTTGGTTAAGCGACTGCCTTCGGCTCAGGTCATGATCCTGGAGTCCCGGGATGGAGTCCCGGGATCGAGTCCCGCATCGGGCTCCCTGCTCGGCGGGGAGCCTGCTTCTCCCTCTGACCCTCCCCCCTCTCATGTGCTCTCTATCTCTCACTCTCTCTCTCAAATAAATAAAATCTTTAAAAAAAAAAAAAAAAGAGTCCTAGGACATCCCTCCTGGCCCCATGAGCCAGGCAGACATATCCCAGCACGGGTGACAGGGAGGCCACAGCTCTGCCCATAGCCCACCTGGGATGGCCATGCAAAAGGAGCATCTGTATCCCCTATCCTGTCCCAGTACTGAACCCTGAAGCAGATTCAGTCATTAGCCAGAACTGAAGCTCAACGAAAGACCACAACCCAAGTAATAGCTGGATTTGGAGGATGTGGCGGGACTGGCCAACAGTGTGCTTCTGGGCAGGCGGGCGGGCGGGCGCAGGAGGCAGACAGGACACAGGGTGGCCTGGGAATGGAGCTAGGAAAGTCCAACCGACCTCCCCATCCCCCGATTCCCATTTGTGGGGGCACCGCCTCCCTGAACTAAAGCTTGGCCCCACAGACCAGCCCTGTGCCTTGAGCAGCCCACAGCATCCTTATCTATGGAGAGTGGCCAACAGGGGTCTATGCAACCCCCCCCACCCCATCAAGCCCCAATTTTGTGCCTCTGTTTGGTTTCTTTTGGTGATTCATGTCTCGGGCCCTGTCAGCAGAAATGACCCTTAGTACAAGTGACAAAAATAGGCCCTTTCACGAATTTCGGCTCCGGTCCAAATGGAAACACAAGAACAAGGAGGGCAAAACAATTAAGCCCCAAAGGACCAAAGGAAATACCTTCAGCGCCCCCCACCCTGCCCTACCCCCACTAACTGGTCACAGAAATTGGGGCTGCCTAGCTCCAGGGACCCAGCCTGAGCAGCTGCTGGAGGAGCTGCCCTGGAAGTGCGTGCGGTTTCCTGTGTGGGATGGGGTGGGGGATGGCTGCATTGAGTGGTGCAGGGGTGCAAGCTCCCACTTTGGGGCTGACAGTGTCTGAGCCCCAGGGCACAAACCCACAGGGTGGAAGCGCCCAGTCGACCCACAACAGAGCTCTCCAGTGCACACAGATGAAAAAAGAAAAGCCAGAACTTAGAAGACAAATGGGAGCCTCCCAAGACGAGGCAGGGAGGATGCCTGGAAAGAGGGATGAGCCGGAAGCAGCCCAGCAAGCCACGGGGGCCGAACTGCTGGAGCCTGGGAGCCTGAAGGCCGGCGGCTCGGAGACTGTAAATCTCACCCTCCTTCCCGCCCAGACAGCTGTTCCCAGGACTCTCAGATTACTTGTTGCACAATCTTTCCATTTCTTTCAAAGGGGGAACAAAAAGGGAAAAAAATAACCTCAGCAGTCAAGAGCTGCCGGAGACGCCGTCACAGCTACCCCACAGCAACCCCACAGCACACGGCAGGAGGTGGGTGCAGGGCACTCAGGAGCCCAGGAGAACTCCTTCCTCCAGCAAACACGCCCCAAAGAAGAGCTCGGGGATCAGGGACAAAGGCCACAGTTATAGACTCGCAATCAGGACCTGACAGTTGGGTGCCACGTCGGGGCAGTCTGCCCTTGGCCAAACTGCACTGTTTTAACAATCAGGTCTCCTGCCAATTCCAACCTCTGGGGTTTTCTTTTGGTCACTCAGATCCTTAGGAGAAAAGGCTGTGAAACCCCTAGTAGGAGCAGCCTGCTAGGAACCGCAGGAGGTGCAAAAGCCCAGAGCAAAAGGCAAACCCGAGAGGTGGCTGGCACCGAAAGTGAGAAGTCAGTGGCCACCAGGAATGCTAATTGGGCCCAAGAATATGGCCATTCATCCTACTGAGTGCAGTGGCCCTGGCTTGGGGCCAGCCCTTTCTGGCAGGCATATGGTGTGGCGCCCCCTGCTGGTTGACAGATTAAAAAGCCACGGGGGGGGGTGCTTGCTGGTTAGGAAGAAAAGGACAAAAGATGGAGACAAGAGGGCAGCAAACTGCCAGCAGTCTCTGCATACACTGGAGCTCAATAAATACAGAATATAGCTTAATCAGTCTCATTTGAGCCCACTGGAAATGAGGTAGTCCACAGAATTTGGGAGTCCTGTAGAAGCCCTTAGCCCATCCCAAGGCAAGCCTCCAACCCACTAGGAAAGTCTGGTACCCTCTACCATAAAAGCGGAGAGGAAGAGTGAGAAGGCCCAGAAGCCCTCCCATCCTCCACTGCCCCAGAGGCAGGCTGAGCCCACACAAGGACCCGTGTGAGCACATGCCTTGGAGTGGGATCACCGAGCTGCGGTGAGCAATCCTCACACTTCCTTGGCATGATCAGATCACATTATGTTGATGAACTGATTAAGTGCGGCTTACTGTTTATCTCCAGTAAGAATAAAATGCCAGAGAAGGGACAGATCTATAAAAGAAAACACCAGGGGTCTTTGTTGCCCAAACACGTTTCCCACTGTGCATACGCGTAACCACAGGCTGCCTCCGGAGGGGCATGCCAGAAGGCCCCAGAGCTGGCTCTCTGGTGGTCTGCAGATTGTCTGCTCAGCTGATGGAGCTAGACCTGCCCAGGGGCAACCGTGTGCACCCAGACACACATGGCCAGCTCCACCTCACAGTACAGGCTGGTTGCCAGGCTTCTTCTTCTCTAGCCTCTCCTCCTGGCCAGTGGGAGCACCTTCCTGCTCCCTGAGAGTAACCAGGAAAGCACACATCTGGAGGAAAAGCTCCTCTCCCTACCACCATGCAGCTCTCAGCATCTCCGCCTGCCCTCACTCGCTCCCACCCTCCCCGCCACACTGAAGCTGCTGCTCAGGTGGGTGGTGGGCTCTGCCAGGGCACCAGGGGGCACACGTGCAGGCCATGAAACACGGAGAGAGAACTGTTAGAGGTTGTAGGACACACTGGTCCAAATGCGAGCACAGTTAGGAGTAGCCAATGCAGCTGTGAGCACTCTGGGGAGGACGGCAATGCCCTGAGCCTGGGTGACAGCAGAGCTGAGAGCAGACTGCTCCACACCTGCAAAAGCACATCACCTGGAACAGCCATGCTGCATGCAACTGTGACATTGGGAAGACCGTAAGACTGGGCAGGGTCACCCTAAGGTCAATGCCACCACCTGGGCCCCAACACCCAAAGTCCTCACCAGCCCCCCCCCCACCAAACACCCCAGGACTGTGCAGTGTCAATACCCTCAGCAACTTCTCCTCAGGGTACAGGGTCACCCACTGCCCCAGGTAGAGGGTTACCATGGCAGCCCTCTAAGATGGGAGGGCCCAGAAAGTTCTTAGGACCACCATCTCTGGTCTCTAGCAGCCTGGACACATGACTAAGCCCGACACAGGCAGGAATGCGACGAGATAGGAAGGAAGATGCCTAACCTGTTTCAGAGTCTTCGCTGTCAGAGGAGCTGGACTCGCTGGTGCTCTCCGACTCCGAGGATGAGAAGCCCTTCATCTTGGAGGAGCCAGCAATCACATCAACTTTCTCAGCTGTAAGAAAGCAACAGAGACTGAGTCACGCAGGGCCCCGACCTAGGAGGCTGCCATTGGCCAAGGGCACACCCCAACAGCCTGCAAGAAGGGCCAGCAGGGAGTCGGTGCCTTGTGAGCCAGAGGGCTGCTGCTAAGAGGCCCTGCCAGTCCCACATTTCCCAGTGGTAAGCTGCCAGTCTACTGCACGTCAGCCAAAACTTGGCTTAATACCAGAATTTCAAAGCCCCTCCGACCCCACAGAATACCCCGTGCTGGGTTCCTCAGAGAGTACAAGACAAGGCAGGAGGGGATTCCCTAACACAAGGAACTGCTGGGCTGGGGCTCCCTCAGCTACTTCTCGGGCAGTGGGTGAAGGGGACCTAAAGGGGACATGACAGGAGAGACAAAGCAAGACATGAAAGAGGCCCAGGAGTCTCCCAGCACCACGGCATGTAGACCGAGGGCAGAACGTCACTGTATAGTGCCCCAGGGAGGGGCCTGAGAACCCCAGGAGGCAGTCCAGGCTGGGCGAGAGGCTACGCATCACACGCTGACGTGGATCCTAAGTCCTACTGGTCTCAAGACTAAAGCTGTGAGCTAAGACAAAGCATTTCTAACAGGAAAGAGCTGCTTGGCAGACTGCGTGGAGGGGGCGATGTGGAACTAGAGAAGAACAGCAGGCAGCGACAATGCTGACCCACCACCTCTCCTCCTGGCCCCTGCTCCCCACCCCCATGCCTGTTGCAAAGAGGCGGTGGCAGGGTGGGAGTGGCTGGCTTTAGGGAAGGCTCAGTGGCAAGAGTGAGAGCAGCACTGCTAGGAGCAGGGCAGAGGCTGCTGAGGTGCAGGCAGGCCCCCGATGGGTACCAGCCAGGAGACTGAGAATGGCACACCCACAGCCCAGGGTCCACTGCGATGTTGCCACCGCCCAGAGGCTTCTTTGCCTAGGACATAGCTTTTATAATTGGAAAAACAGCCTGCACAGGGAGAGGGCCACGTCTGGAAGGCAAAGTGAACCACGGATGGGATGGCCTCCTCCCTCTTGGCTGGGATGGCCAGGACTGAGAACCACCCTGCCCGGTGGAAGCGGGGGGCGGGGGGCGCGCGCCAAAGGCACCTTGAGGTTTCCTTTTCTTCCGCAAACAAGAGGTTACATAGCGCTCCAGTTCTCGCAGGGTGGACGGCTTCAGAGTTTCAAAGTCGATCTCGATCTCATCAGGGTTGGAGTTCTTGAGGGAGGGCTCCCGGGACTGGATGATGTGCACCACACGGCCCAGCTTCTCGCCAGGGAGCTTGTTGATGTCCAGGCTGAGTTGCCGCTTCTCCTCATACGACATGGGCTTGCACTTGTCCTCCTCCTCTGACTCGTACGCAGGAGGGGGCTTGTTCTTCATGGGCGCTGGCTCCTTCTTGCTATGAAGGGGCGATGCAGACACTGTGAGGAACGAGTGTCCTGGGAAAGCCAGGCACCCATTCCTCCATTTGGGGCTTGGTGGATGGCTTCCACACCCCCACCCAGATGGCCTTCAAGGGAAATGGGGTAGCCTGGCAAGCCCTTATCGGGAGCACCCACTGCAGACAGACTGCAAACCATGCTCTGTCCTCACCTTCCACTCCATGCTCCCTGCTATCCCCCCTCCCTTCCCAAACACAGTGCGCACCAAAGATCCATCCCAGAGGAAAGGGCACAGATGCAGCCTCCTTACCCATCATGGCGGGCAGGGGTTGTCCCCCCTACCCCCCCACCCCGGGCAGACTAGGGAGGCACAGACCTCACATTGCTGTTGCTGCTATTATTTTTCTTGGTCTTTTTGGGAGGAAGTTCCTTGGCTTTGCTCTTCTTATTCTCCTCCACTTCCTCTTTCTTTTTGTGCTTTTCCTTTTTCTTTTCTTTTTTGTCTTTCTCCTTTTTCTTTGGTTTGTTCTGCTGGGGCTGGGAGAGGGCTGCAAGCTGCTCGTGCACGGCTTTGAGCTGTGGAGCAGACAGGCAAGACACACACACCCATCATCCTAGTCTGTGTGTGGACCCCCAGGCGTCAGGGGGCAGGGGAGGAGGGAAGCACAGGGAGGGGGCTTGGCCCTCAGCCTTGTGACCTGTTGCCTCACCAGATTTTCGAAGTGCCCATGCCCACCCGGGCCACAGACTCGGATCCGAGGGTGGCCAGTGTCCTTCCTTGCTAGAGGAGCTGCCCAAGCTGGCAGACACTGAGCTCCACGGCCATCCAGGAGCAGGGTCCCTAGGAGGCTGGGTACTAAGGCCCTGATGTCTGGCTTGTAGGGCCCCAGGAGAGATAGATATCCTGGCTCAGGCTCCTCCTTCCAGATACTGGAAGATCTAGAAGCCTCACCTCTGCCCCCAGAACAGCCACGTCTCCCCAACAAAACATCCACGTATGTACAATGGACTCTTGAACAACGTAGGTTTTAACTGTGCAGGTCAACTTACAGTAGTTTTTTTTTTTTCCCCAATCAATACAGTACTATAAGTGTGTCTTCTATTGCTTACCATTTTTTTTCCACTTTATTAAAAACTTACTTCATTGTTAAGAATATAGTACATAATGTGTGTAACCTATAAAACATACATTAATTGACTGTTATAGGTAAGGCTTCTGGTCAAGAGTAGATTATCGGTTAAGTTTTCTGGGGGAGTAGATTTTCAGCTGCACAGGAGGCCAGCACCCCAAAACCCTACACTGCTCAAGGGTCAGCTCCGTGTTTACAACGCACGTGCACCTGGCACAGGTGGACCAGCGGGAATTCTGCTCCTGCGGAACTCGGAACTGGAACTCCACATGCCGTGGTGACCCCTGGAGAGACTGCCCGGTCCGTGCATGCTGGGATGCTGGGGGACCGGGTACGGGGCTGCAGGCACCCTCACCTGCTCCTGGAGCTCTGCCAGCCGCTGGGCTCGCTCCTCTTCAGAGTCATCGGTGGAGCTGTCACTGTCGGAGGAGCTGTCACTGCTGCTGTCGCTGGACGAGGGTGGGGCCACCACTTTGGTGGGGGGTGGCACCGCCGGGGAGGACACGGCCACCACAGGCTCCTCTGGCTCATCTGGCATCTTGGCAAAGCGCATCTCGAACACATCCTGGTGGGGGAGAAGCCGTGCCCGTGAGGGCTCCCAGGTGCCCGGGCATGTGTGGCAGGGGGCTGCCTGGGCTGTGGCTCAGCATCACCACAGCCTCCCCGGCTGCCGGGATTGACTCAAGAGAAAGCAAGCAGGAGGGTCAGAGGGCTGGGCTGATGGTGACCCCCCCCACCCTGCCCACTAAGGCAAGGGGTGGGCCAAAGCCCCTTGCCAGCTCTTCCAACACTCCTCACAAATTCACTTTGAAAAGAAATATGTTCCTGCCACGGCCTGGCACCCACTCCCCAGGAGATACAGCCCAGGTATGTACATGTGACCCAGGTCACAGGAGGCCACTGGCCCACTGAGGATGTCTGCTTAGGGACTGAAGATAGATGGCAGGTCAAGGGAAGGACCCACGAAGAGTGCCCCAAGGCTCTTGTCAGGTCAGTGCTTACTCAGCACTTCCTGAGGGAGCCTTCTGGATGCCAGGGCCGGGCACCAAGAAACAGCAGTGAACAGAACAGGAGCCTCTGCCCACCTCGGGTTCACACTCCTACAGGAAGTGGGTGCATTCTGCAGTTTTAGAGAGCATTCCAGGCAAAGGAAACAGCACGTGCAAAGGCCCAGCCCTGCAGTAAATGTGCCTGGCACAGAGCCCATGGCCAGTGAGGCAACTGAGCCTCTGCTACAGTGGGCACATGTCTGCATCTGCCTCCCCACTCCTCAGATCACCTCTGGGGCATGTAACTGAGCAAAGCCATGCCACTGGCTGAGGTATCTCCAGGGCATGCCCGGCAAGGTGCGAAAGGTATAGAAGAGTGGCTGTGGGGGGTGTTGAGGACGGGCTGCAGGAGGGAGTAAGTCTTGTGAGGTGCCAGTGACCCAACCTTATATTAAGCATGGGATCCCTTGACAGGAGACTGAGGCCTCCCAATTCTAAGACCCAGGAATCTGATGGAACTCCATGTGGGGTCACAGAGCTTGAGCACAACTCCACCTGGGTACCTGGGCCCACCTGTGCTGCCCCACCAGCCAGCTGGGCAGGTCCCTTCCTACCCTGAGGGCTCCAGGGTCATAAATTCCAGTGATGACTCAGGACAGAGGACAGCAGTGAAAGGAACAGAGCTAGCTTCCCAGCAGGATATTAGGACCTACTTTAAGCCTGGACAAAGTTCGTCAACATGGCATCTCACATAATTCTCGAGAAGGGGCCTTTCCCAAGTGTGAATGGATACTTCAGAGCTGCACAGCCCAGGAGAGCTGTGGGATCTAGCTGTGTCAAACAAACTAGGGTACACTTGACAGAGCTGGCCCTAGAAACCTCTCCTGCTATCTCTGGAAACACAGCTTCAGGTTTCCCCTCCCCAAGGCAGCTAGGAAAGGTGACCCAGGCAACAGGGTAGATTCGTCCTCAACTGCAGTGCTGTCCTCTCCCCTCCAGACCACCCAGTTCAGCCTCGTCCAAGGCAGCTCCTCCTCCCAGCAAGGTGAGGACCTAGACTTTGCTGTCTAAATGTTTTTTTTTTTAAGATTTTATTTATTTGAGAGAGAGCACATGAGAGGGGGGTGGGCCAGAGGGAGAAGCAGACTCCCTGCCGAGCAGGGAGCCCGATGCGGGACTCGATCCAGGGACTCCAGGATCATGACCTGACCCAAAGGCAGTCACTTAACCAACTGAGCCACCCAGGCGCCCTGTCTAAATGGTTTTACTACCAGACTAAGTCCTGAAAGGGTAATGCCTTTTTAATTCACGCAGAAATAAATTCTGGAGCAGGTCTGAGGGCAATGGAGAAGACACACACAAGGGATGATCAGAGACTGTCACCGCCCAGGCTGCCAAGGAGACAAGGGCTCACACCAGAGCAGGGGCCCTCACCTCAGTGCCCTAGATATGGGCAGGCCTGGGTCCCCAACAGACCTACACGAACATCCACGAAAAGCCAGGCCTGCTGCCCAGAGGCAGAGGGCAGGTTAGAGGAGTGTGCCTGATGTGTCTGGATCCCACCAAGGGAGGAGGGTGCAGGCACAGCCAAGTACTCAGTGTTGCTGAGAGGTGAGCCTTTACCAGATGGGAGCTTCCTCGTGCCACTTATCTGTGCACCCAGCCTCTCCTGCCACCTGCCAGACAGCACTACCCTTGCCACAAGGACATCCCTACTCCTCCCCAACAGGCTGTGGCTATTGTGGAAATGGAGGC